CTGCTGATATAAAAACACATATTTAGGGTTTCCCAGCTTTCTGGTCATTGTGGCACGAGCCTCACCCAGATCCTTCCCTCACCCCTTGCAGGTGAACTTCCTCCTTTTGCCTTTTCTTTTTTTTCCTTTTTTTTTTCTTTTTTTTTTGGAGGCTGCTTTTTATCTGAAACTTCTTTGCCTGTGAAATTGTGCAGGCCATTTATAAAATGTATTAGCTGTGTTTGAGCACTTAATGGTGTGAGCCCTTCAATCACACAGCCCTAAAATCGGCTTCAAACAAGCAATTAAGGCAAACAACAATGTATTTAAATTTAATCTCCCACAATCTCCCACAAATGACAGCTGCTGTGGGATCCAGGCTGGGATGGGGATCCAGGGCTGGGATGGGGATCCAGGCTGGAATGGGGATCCCGGCTGGCATGGGGATCCAGGGCTGGGATGGGATGGATGGGATGGGGATCCAGGGCTGGAATGAGATGGATGGGATGGGGATCCAGGCTGGGATGGGGATCCAGGCTGGGATGGGGATCCAGGCTGGGATGGGGATCCAGGGCTGGGATGGGGATCCAGGGCAGGGATGGGGATCCAGGCTGGGATGGGGATCCAGGCTGGGATGGGATGGGAATCCAAGGCAGGGATGGGGGAATGTCCTGGGGTGACTTTACGATTTGCCCCAGCAGCTGCTTCCTTCCCTCTGGTTTATGCCCTAAACCCCTTTTCTCCTACTTTTTCCTCCTTTTTTCTTCCTTTTTCCACTCCTTTGTTCTTCCCTTTCCCCCCCTTTTCCCCCTCCTTTTTTCCCTCCTTTTCCCCCTATTTTTTTCCTACTTTTTTCCTCCTTTCCCTCCCTTTCCCCCTCCTTTCCCCTCCTTTTCCCTCCTTTTTCCCTGCCTTGTTCCCCTCCTTTTTCCCCCTTTCCCCCCTTTCCCTCCTTTCCCGTTTCCAGGCAGGAAGAGCTGCAGGGGCAGCGAGGAGGGCAGGGGGTGCAGGGCTGTAAACATGTTTGGGGTTGCCAGGGCTGCAGGGCTTATTTTGGGACTCTGGGAGCCCAGCTGCCCCGCGGCGTGCCGCAGATCAGATCTGCCCAGCTCGGGTGTCTGAGCCTCCCCGGGACAGCTGGAGCTTCCCCGTCCCTCTGTCCCTCTGTCCCCCTGTCCCCCTGTCCCCCTGTCCCTCTGTCCCTCTGTCCCCCTGTCCCTCTGTCCCTCTGTCCCTCTCCCTGCCCGGGAGGGCTGCGGAGCTGCAGCAGCCCCTGTCCCCCAGCGTGGCACGGGGGAGCCTGGAGCCAGGATCTGCTGGTGACATCGAGCTGGGTGCTGACCACCCCAAACCTCTCAAATCCTGGTGCTGGGTGCTGCTGATCACCCCAAACCTCTCCATTCTGGGTGCTGGGTGCTGCTGATCACCCCAAACCTCCCCATTCTGGGTGCTGGGTGCTGCTGATCACCCCAAACCTCTCCATTCCAGCCACTCCGAGGGCTGAGAGCTGGGACTGGGGATGTTCCACCAGCTCCTCATTAATTAGGGAATTAAACCTTCAGGTTCGGGGGGATTTCGGAATTAAACCTTCAGATTTGGGGGAATTGGGGAATGAAACCCTCAGGTTTGTGGGAATTTGGGAATTAAGTCTTCAGGTTTGTGGGGATTGGGGAATTAGACCTTCAGGTTTTGGGGGATTTGGGAATTAAGTCTTCATGTTTGGGGGGGATTGGGGAATTAGACCTTCAGGTTTGGGGGGAATTGGGCACTGCTGTTGGAACCGGGAGCTGTTCCCAAGCTCTGTGCAGTGGGACGGCTCCACCTCATTAATTAGGAAATTAAACCTTCATCTGGCTCGTTAAGGCACCCAGAGCACAGCTCTGGGGCTGGGGGCTTCAGCTGCTGCCTCGGGAGGTTCCCCCACGTCTGGCTCCGTCGCCCTCCTCAGAAAAGGGCCCCAAAGCCCCTCAGGGACCCCGCAGGTGCCACCCTGGGGTGCTCCAGGCTCTCCTGAGCATCCTCAGGAGGAATCTCCCTGTTAATGAACCTGTTTGGCCACTCCTGCTGCCCAGGGCAGAATGTACTGAATATACTGAATATACTGAATATACTGAATATACTGAATATATTGAATATACTGAATGTATTGAATGCATTGAATGCATTGAATGCATTGAATATCCTGCACATATTGAATATATTGAATATATTG